TGCCACGACGCTGCCGTTCAGCAGCGTGGCAGCGTCTTCGCTGCCGCGATTCAGCAGCGTCGTCGCTGCTGAATCGCAGCGGCCAAAAACGAAGGGGGGAGACTGAAGAAGAGAGAAGAATGAGGGGGAGGGGAAGGGGAAGGCTGAAGAAGAGAGAAGAATGAGGGGAAGGGGAAGGGGAGAGGCGGCGGGAGATGAGAGTGGAGAGGATGGGTTGAAATGATTTTAGGGTTTGGTTAAAATGATTTTATTCTATATAGATATAAAATTAAAAATAAAAAATGTTTTTAAAAATATTAATTAAAACCTGATTTTTGAAATGTTAAAATTTGAAACCTTATTTGTGAAATTGAAAATCTAAAAGCAGGTGTAGGTGTAATTTCCTCAAATATTATCCTCAACTCCCTGATTTCTCTCTCTCGATTGTTCTGCGCCGTTCGAGTTTTCTTCTCTCAATATTTCTGTTGAAATCAAAATACTCCTTTGATTTCTTTGTTCTCTCAAAAGAGTTGTAATCTTGAGTGATTCTTCTTTCAGTTGAGAGCGATGCTCTTGAGTGAACTGCTGTTGTTTTGAGAGTTAAGATCTTGTGTGAAATATGGGTTTAGTCTGAGTGCTTAAACTTTCTGTAATCCATATCATGGTTGTGGTTTATGCTCGAATGGTTGTTGTTCAGTAACTAAGACTCTAATTGTATGATATATGACAGAGGATCTTTGATAATAAAGATAAGTGTTCGTTTTACAGTTTATTGTTCTGTAACTTTATCTTAAATTGAGTTTGATTATAGCAGTTTCTGATTCTTGCAATTTATGCTTTGTGTTCACTTTTATTGCTTTTATTTCAGTTCGATTTTTTGTTACTTAGCACATATATTTGGTAGATCTGTGAGCGAACCAGTGTATTCTCCTCCCAACCCGTTTATTAACTTATTTTCATCAATATTATGTTGTTTAAAAAAAAAAATTGCATTTTAATTTTTGACCCCACAATACAAAAAAAATTGGCTGTGCCGTGCTGACAACCTTGGTTAGAACCTTATCTGCTTATGACTGGTCCCACTTTTGACAATAGGTTTGCAATTTAGCCAAGTCTTTCTAGATGTCAACTGATAATCAACCACCGAAAAGCTACTTCATAACAAGTACTCCGTGATGGAACTGATAATGCTTTCAAAATGCTGCATTCATGAGTAGGCAATACAAGAGGTGACAAATTGGGTCCGGTGGATCTCAGTGATGTTGTTGGAAAACAAGAAGATTCGAAAAGTGGTCCGGGGACCGGCCAGATTCAATTCAAGCGAATCGACCAATGACACGGCCCATCGTGGGCCTTGCACGGTTTGTCCTGGTTTGCACTACTAATGTGGACAT